GGCAATGTTTCATGACTATAAATAGGTGTTTGATTGTCTTTACAAAGAGATAGAAAATCATATTACAAATATATGAGAAACATTATTTTCATTCCACAAAAATGATCAAACATCCTTTCTTCCATATTCAATTCTTCACTCTTGTATTCTTCAGGTTCGGGTAGAAAATCATTTATTCTTTTGTGATTTTCTACAACAAGGCTTGATCAATCCTTCAAACCGTTTGTCGCGAAATCTTTTAAGCACCAAAATTGTTACCAAGAGGGGGCAAATATCATTTGAGGACAATGACATAATGTCGTGTTTGAGCCTTTTATATTCGATTTATTCTTAAAATTTATTTCATCTAATTGATATCATTTGTATGTTTTTTCTTCTCTAACCCCAGTGGAGATAATTTTCCAACAATCTCAAACGATATTTTGGCAATGGAGAATGGAACCACTATGGCATAAATCAAGTTGATGGATTGAGATCTTGTTCGTGTGGATTGTTTGATGGCACTAACTTCACAAGATGGTTTGATTTGTAGAAAGTAATGAATTCAGATTCTTGCATTTGAATTTAGTAAATTATCATTTCGCCTTTTCCAAATTCGTATATGCCATCAATTTTTGCGTACTATAAACATGTGAAGTGCATGAAAAAATGGAAGTATTAAGTGCACATATCTTGATTCTAGATTAAATTCTAATATCTTATTTAATCAAGCATTAAAGTTTGAGTAGTAGTCATTAAAAATGTGTGCAAAATTAAATAGTTTTGTGATTCTCTATATTATAGTTATTGGAAATATTATTTTCAGAACTTTTGTAAAGTGGTGTCCTTTCAGTATTCTTGTAATGGCATTTAGAAATGTTACTCTAATGACTCCCACTTTTGCTAACCGTCATTTGTTGAGCATAGTGTCATTTCATTTGCATCGTTTAAGTGACGTAATGATTTATTATATCTATTTGTAGTAAAAAAATTAAATGATACGGTGTGAAAGTGAGTCTTTGTTCGTTAAAATCTTTCCAAGCGCTTGCTATTGTTTTACAAGAATTTGTATGATATCATTGAAACTTGCTTATGTACAAATACAATGGAAGGACACATTATTTGATTGTGATAATCTATCGTGAATTTATTTGACATTCACTAATTGGTGGCATGTGTGATTATGCTTATCACATGACACTTCTAGAATCTACACATACTTCGGTGAGGAATTGACAAATTCTAATCCATGATAGAAATTGCCTGCAAGTAAATTTCATTTACTGTAAGTAGGAAACATTGTTGGGCGTCTATATGATAGTCTAAACTACGTGAAGCAGATTAGTAAATTTCAAATAGTGAATTTATTTGATGTATCCATACAAGGATTTGGATAGCCTTTTTGTTCATAATGGCTTGATTGGTTAAAATTTCAGATTTTATTGAAAATTATACTGTGAAAGTAATAAATTGAATTTGATTGGAGAAATTGTAATTTTTGAAAATCAAGATGGCTGATCTTATTCATTGGTGAATTTGACCTCAATTGTAAAACTAATTGATGCTTGAAAGGCATTAACGATCTATGAGATGACCTTGATGAATTGAACTATGAAAGAGTTGATGAACTCTAAGTTCAAGTATAATTCCAAATGTAGGGGTTAACATTAAATGCTAGTAAACTTATTTGAGAAGTTTAAAATTTGCGGATGCAATACTAATATATTGCATAAGAATTCTTAATTGAGGAATTGTGGTGGTAACTTAATATAATAGTTAAAGTTTCCAAGACCTTTTAATCATAGAAATATATCTATGAAGGAGAAAATGTGGAAACCCCTTATATGTAATTATAAGGATGGATACACTAAGTCTAAGGTGGATAAATTGGGTGAAAGCCGATTATGGCATTTGCAAAACTATTTGAATATTTAAAGAATATTCATGCTATTGAAAATCATTGTAATGACTCAGTGATGAGAAGTGAATACCCACGAATGGAATCCACAAAAGTAATTGACTAAGTGTAATGATTTAAAAAAAAATGAAAAAAAAAATCTTTCAACCCTGTTTGAAATCTATAAAGCTTTAAATAAAGTTAATAAGAAGCATGTGGCTTCATAAAAAGATTTCTTGATGGTGACTAGTTTTATCTATCAAATAAATCTTTGGCTAGCCATGTTAAGATAAAATACTAAGCCACATAAAATGAAAAGTAAAGACATATAAGTCTTAGAGGTAACGTCACAAGGAAATTATCAAAGATGGAATAATTTCCAAAGAGAATATTAGCGGATCCTTTAACAAGACCACTAAATAAATTTTAGTGACATATACTTCGAGAATGATGGGGTTGAAACTCCTAATTTATAAAGATCCACCAATGATGACAACCCTACCGTCATTTACTCAAAGGGTAATCCACAGGTTCAAATCGTAACAACAAGTCATTCGATATGTGGATGATTGCAGCATTATATAAATACCGCGATAACCCTATCTTAATTAAAATAATGCTGATTGTTACTGAAGTGAGCGTTGAGCATTAAAGCTCTTAATGAAATTCAATGCTAAAATATAAGTACTTCTAAAAGTAACAAAGGTATTGAAAGAACTTTACCTAAGTAAATTTCGAGGTGGTGTCGCTCAATAGAGAGTTGGAGTTTCTCTCTTAAAAGTTTGTTGAAAAGGATAAGCGCAATGCTATATTAGCGCTAAGCAAGATTAAGGAACTTGAGAATACGTAATGCTTGGGTGTGTATCCTTACCAGTATTGTCACATGGAATAATTGGTTGAAAGCTTCATGCTATATGCGATTTCGACATTACTTTGTTTAGATTACACTATGGTTAGATTCAAATCGAAAGATATATAATCCTTATGCATGAGTATTGTATACTTTGAATATGAGAGTTTGTTGAAATTTTGAACAAGTGGGGGTTGTTGGAAATATGTTGTTCAAAAATAATAAATATATATGTGGAATGGAAATAAACAAAATTGAAATGTGAAACTGAAATGGAGGCCCAAAATTTGGGCCATGCGACCGCACGCCATATGGCCATGCGGTCGCATGGCCATTAACAGAATATTAAAGGGGGGCCTGTTGAAATACTCGATGCGACCGCATGGAGTTGTACCATGCTGTCGCATGGTACAATTTTTTAACCGTTAGAGGCCATTTTCAGTTTATGTTTGGTGGTTTTTGGAGAAAATCTTGCATCTCTTTATGACCTTTTGGCAGCATTTCGTGTGGCAATGTTTCATAGCTGTAAATAAGTGTTTGATGGTCTTTACAAAGAGATTGAAAATCATATTACAAACATATGAGAAATATTATTTTCATTCCACAAAAATGATCAAACATCCTTTCTTCCATATTTAATTCTTCCCTCTTGTGTTCTTCAAGTTCAAGTAGAAAACGATTTGTGCTTTTGTGATTTTCTACAACAAGGCTTGATCAATCCTTCAAATCGTTTGTCGCGAGACCCTTTAAGCACCAAAATTATTACCGAGAGGGGGCAAATATCGTTTGAGGACAATAATATAATGTTGTGGTTGAGCCTTTCGATTTGTTCTTCACATTTATTTCATGTTCTTGATATCACTTCTATGTTGTTTGTTCTCCAACCCTAGTGGCGATAATTTTCCAACATGGTCTTCCATTTTCCTTACCTTAAATGCATATTAGAAAACAAACTCGAATCTATTAAGTAATTATATTTTGGACAATTTAAGCAATTTTTTCTAGTTTAATGGAAGTAGTCTGTGTCTCATTTGTTACTTAAAATATGTTTAGTACGGGAAATTAAGCAAATTTCAGATAAATGTGTGTGAATTACATGTCGAAAACCAATTACTTAGCAAGAAAATCACGAGGCAAGAGACCTCCAATCAATCCTCTTTGCTTTTGTCGAGAGGATAAGTTGAATCAATTTTAAAAAAATAAAATAAAAATTAATTAATTAATTTGATATGAACTTCTTCGTTGGTATACATTGTACATAAAGTTTGATTGTGACCCTGATCATCTTTCTTCAGTCGCTCTCAAATTCCAACACAGAGAAAACTCCGATTAAATGAAATCTTATCTTATCTTATTTTGCAATATCCATTTATTATACGGTGACGCGACACGTAAATTTGTAAAATAATGACTAGTTTTCCTATCAATTTTGGGAGACAGGTGGCTCTAAACTCTAAAGGGACCAATTTTTATTCAATTCGACCAATGGCCGCGGAGCATTTGCCTAGAAACATCTCGACAAATTGATAGTAATAACTATGAAAGTTACTATACACTGGATATTTCAAGCTAATTTTGTCATTTCATTTCTGGTAGAGACAATTTTGTAGTAATTAGATTATATTAGTTAGAAGTTGAGATAAAAACATCTTAAATGTGGCTTCTTCTCAAGGCAGCATTTGGCATTTTCAATGGGACTTCTCAGAATTTGTGTATTTATGAGTTTTTAAGTAGTCATTTTCTAGGATGGGACGGAATGTATTCTAGAAGAGAGCATAATTTATTTTGAGGAATTTTATGTTAGTTATTACTATTTTTTGCCACTATGGTATACAAAAGGTTATTATTTATTTATTGTTGTACTTATAATATAAACTTTTTTATCACCAAGTTTTATCTTCAATTTAATATTAAAAACCATATCTTGTCCGCGATGATGGTTCATGTCCAAAACGTTCGTTATGGTAACATGAAAGATTTTCCTCATTTTGCAATAAGAAAAATAACAAACATAAAGCATGACAAATAGTTGCTTCTCATTTCAAAGTATGCTAACATAATATTTGAATTATCAATGACTAAATGTGCTAGTATTTGACAATCAAGAATAAGAATATAACAAAGATGAAGACATAAGTTCGACGAGAAATAAAATAGATAATTTTATGCAATTAAAAAGTAGTGCAATAGTGACAATATATAATCAGCCTAAGGGATATTGAACTCCTATAAAAAAATATAATAGATAAATGTGTGCTTGGTTTTTAAAGAATAAGTTAAACATTTTTTGTTGATATTATTATTAAGATAATGCTGAGCACCAATTAATTGGAGGGTATGCCTGTGAAAAAACAATCATTCAGTGGCAAAATTTGGCCAATGTCAGCTTAAAGACAAAATCTTCATTTTGAGATTCTTATTATTCTATATAAACACTGCATTGCAAATTTGCAATCACAACTACAACTTAGCACTCTACTCCGTGCGTGTAAATATGAAGTCTTTATTAGAATTGATCACATGTTATGGTTCTTCATCCACTGAGTCGGAATCGCGACAGCCAGCTGAGGAATTCAGATCGCTGGTGGCAACGCGAGATCGCCGCTGCGTTGGACGTAAGCGGGGGAAGGTGATGGGTACGAGTGATTGGAGTCCATCTTTGTCGTCAATTTCTGAAAACAATAAATTAGGTGAGACGAATAATCAACCGCGGCCACCAATCGTAAGGTTTAATAGAAACCTCATGAGGAAAGTTGGATCCATAGCAAACAAAGATCAGGACCCTTCTTCACATCACGATGATACCAGGTCAAAATTACTAATTTAAAGTTTTTAATTAATAAATATGGTCTAAATTAATAAAAAAATCCAGAAAATTCAAATGGCTTAAATTACTCAATTTTATTTTGTTTTTACAGGCGAGCTTCAATTTCAACAACCATGCCTGCATTGTCTCCAACAGCTTTCCTCTTTTGATTGTTCCTTCTTTGGTTTTTCACCCAGTTCCAAGTAAATTTTGTACATGTTGTGTATGTGTATATATTTTGACGTTAAGTAGAATATGAATTAGCAAATAATCTTTTATTTAATAAACATTTAAATTTTTAAATGAAGTGCTTCAATAAAGCTGGATTGAGTTTCATTACAATATATGGAAATTATTGGGGTGGATTGAGTTTCATTACAATGTGAGGTGAAAATTATTGTCTGATTTTGTCTTTATATTTTATGGAGATTATAAATTTATAATGAATTCCAAGCAATTACTAAATTGAAAATTAATCAGTTTTTGCTACACTAATTATATTGATTAGTCAGCTGCAGTAACTTAAAGATGACATATTTAGTATGTAATAGTCGATATATTATATAGAAAAATCGATTAAACTTTAACTTTAATTTTTTGATAATTTGTTGTTCAGTCAATTGTTCGTTATAATCGTTAATAAATTTTCCTAATAGAGATGTGACCCCATGGACCTAGAGAGATATTTCATAGCGAATGCGTATTTGACCCTCATTAATTTTCATTTCATTACATTTTATTTTTCACTCTCTCTTATTTTCAACCATACAATCTTTCATAAAATAATATTACACGTAAATCGAAAATTTTCATTCTTTTTCAACCACTCATTTAAAAAAAAAAAATACTATTCCACCCATTTTTATTTCTACAAAATGGGGGCCAAAAGGGGGCTAATATTATTGTATGTGATGTTTAAATTTTTTATCCTAAAACCGAGTAATAGTTGACATATTATGCATTGTAATTTGAAAGATCTAATATCGGCTATCATCATTTCTAATTGTTTAAGCTTGGCCACCTCATTCGAAGGAGCGTGAAATATACGGAAGGATAAATTTATTACATTTCCAATCACTCAACTTTCACCAAAATTTCAACTTAATCAACTTTAATTTGTTGGATCTCTTAACTTCAATTTTGATTCACAATTCAAGACTTTACTTGGCACTATTAAATATAACTAATGTTGTATTCTTATGACGTTTAATTGTTGTCTCAATAATATCCTACATAAGTAATCCTTCAAGTGTTCAATGCCATACTAATTAATGAATTATAATAATGGAATAGGTAAATTCCTCAATTTTGGAGGAAAAATTATTTTTCCTATTTTAGATAAGATTTGACTCTTGCGAGTGTAACTATTTAATGCTTGGACTTGGATGAAAGTTAGTGGAAGAAAAACATATTTATAGACATGATTTCTAGTTGTCAATAGGACTAGCAAAATGATTCGCTCTCGAGAGTGATACACTGACTTGTCTCAAATGGGGTCTCGATTGGGAAATTGAAACAACGGGGAATATAGTCTTGTTTCAAACTTTTATTTTTTATTTAATTATTTTTGTATGTTTTCAAGCGCGCAAACAAGTTTATAAACAGGCAGATGTCAATCTCCACAACTTGAAAAAATAATGAAACAAAATTATAGGATTAAAAAATTGTAAAGCTAAGTATGTAATTATTAATTATACGGACAAGTTAATTTCATCTAATTATGAAATTTTCTTATTTATGGGCACATCATTACGTGGGCCCTTCCACCTAGATCCTACGGTCCACAAACTAAACTCAAAGTCATCCATGACATTCAATGGCACAAGCCACGAGGTAGGTGAGATAAGCATGAAGTGTGAGGTCATAACCCAGCATCAAATGGGAAGATTGCATTATCGGTCCTCAACCGATTGTACAATTACAAAATTGATATTACCAACGTTTCATACATAATGCAAAATCATCTCCAACATCAAAGTCTCTATTCAATTGTTATGTGAAACTAACATGTCCAACTCTATAAATTTAGGTTTTATTTGCGAACTTGAAGCAATTAATGCCTAAAATGTTCTAAGACATATTTAAGAAAACCACATAACATCCAATAAAATGGGTCTCGTAGAAATGAATGTATTGGTTTATGTTAGAACACCAAAGGAGATTATTCAAGTTTAAGCAAGTCTCCGTTGTACCATTAGAATGGAAAAATGTGAATGATTAAGCACTTGCAAGCACTGTAATTGAATCATCTTTCTGGCACAAACAATTTGGTCACGCTACCTATACATCACTCAAACATATGCATGAACTAAAACTATTTGAAAATATGCCTAAAATCAGTAGTAATGATTGTGTGTGTGATGTTTTTTTGGAAAGCAAACAAGATTACCATCCCCTAGAAATCAAGCAAAGAGGGCAAAAAAAGGCTTGAATTGGTGCACTCAGATGTCTGTGGACTAATGAGAATACCAACTATGAATTGCAGTAAGTATTTTGTCCTCTTCATAGATGATGTGTGATAAGTGTGTTTTTGCACACTTATTTAGGTCACAAACATGACTTAATAACGAGTAAAATGATCGAATTGTGATGTAATCTAGTACATTTGTGAATTGTAGGGAACAACGATGAATATGGTAAAATTCAGAAGAAAAGACGCGAAAAAAGACTAAAATGACGCAAAGTGAAAGTTCAGGGACCAAATTGAAAATATCCAAAAGTTGATCCGATGAGCAAATCGAGAAATTGATTAGGCCAACTACCAATTGACGATATCGTGGGGTGATGAAATGAAAAGAATGAAGAGAAGATGCCAAGAAGTGAAGGATGCAAGTGGGAGGACCAAAACGCACATTTGCTATAGTTGATAGTACTATGCGACCGCAGAGTACTATCCTCTATGTAGTCGCATAGTAGCATACCAAAATCAAAGAGGCTCCAAAAATTTACTCTATGCGACCGCATAGAGTTGCTCTATGCGGTCACATAGAGCAATTCTCGACGAAAAATTCAGTTTCCTTTTTCTTCTGAAACTCTTATGGAAATAATATTTTTAGGGTCCTATAAATACAAAAACTCAACCAGAACTTAGGGGACGCCGCTTTTACATATTTTTGAGAGAATTTGAAGGAAAAACGAAGGATAGAACAAGAGAACAACATCACGCCAAGTGAAGATCGAATTGAAGATTGATTCGGGTGATGTCGTTTCTTCAAATATTTTTATGTTTTATTCTTTTTAGTATGTTAGGCTAGATTTATCATTGCTAGGAGATCGATGAACCTTGTAATACTACGTTTGGTTGTTGATTTGAATTTTTGACGTATTTAAACACAAGTTCCAGATTTGATTGATTTATTACGTATTTATTTTCATATGGTTATTGTGCACGTAATTATATGATTGTGGTAGCCTGTTTTATGCATTCAAAAGAAGGAAAATAGCGTCGACATAGTATAAATCTCCATAGGGTCCGATAGGGGATAGAAATATACCTCTATGCCTTGTGTTAATCGTTGGATATTCATGAATTTCTAATGCATTCTGGTATGTTAGCATTCGTCATAGACATATAGTCGAGTCATATATTGGGATAGGTTTGGCATTGCTCGAGAGAGATTGCAAAGTTACAATACGAATATTGATTCATCTTTTGTAGGATCGTGTGTCAAATTTACATAAATGAACAATTGAATGGGTATTGCTTGGGAATTCGTGATCCTAGTGCATTAGTATACTTATTAAATCCATAAATTTTAGTAAATTGCATCCAAGTTATTTTGCATTTAGTATAATTCTTCATTCATACTTGCATCTAAGGTTACATATTGTTAGTTAGAGTACAAAACCTCAATTTGATTTTAGTGTTTCGGTTAAGATCATAATAGGTTAGTTCGAACTAATTCAATCCTTGTGGGATCCATACTTGGACTCATAGTCCATTTTACTACTTGTTAACGAACCGTACACTTGCGGTGAATTTTAAATCGGAACAAATAATTTCTTGAACAAGTTTTTGATACCGTTGTCGGGGATTGAAATTTAGTTTTAATTTTACCTTTTGTGACACTAATTCGAACTTATCTAGATTAGTAGTAGTTAGATTACTAGATTTAGTTTGTTATTGCTTAAATTTAATTTTGTGTCAATTTTGTTATCTCAGGGGTTGTATGCAAGGAACACCTGATCACGACTTGGTTCCCATAAATCCAGAGATCGAACGCACATTTCGTCACAGGCAAAGAGAAGCAAGAGCGGCACAACAAATGGCTAACGTGCAAAATCGATCGGTAATTCCACTCAACAAAGGCATGGCAGTTGAAGATGATGGAAATACAGTACTCGGGGACTTCATGGCTCCATTGGTGGTCCAAATTCAATCTAGCATTATGTATCCTCCATTTGGGCAACCGAATTTCCAGCTGAAAACAAATGTGATTCAACTATTTCAGAATGGGCATCAATACCACAGGATGGCTAGTGAAAATCCGCATACACACATATCCCGATTTTTGGATATGTTCCAACACTTGAGGTACCAGGGTATCTCGGACGATGCTATAAGACTGCGGTTATTTCCACACACCTTGCGGGATAAGGCACTTGAATGGCTGGATTCTCTTCCCATCGCAAGTATCACCACTTGGAACGAGCTAGCCCATAAATTCTGCACCAAGTTCTTCTCGTCAGCTAAAGTAGCTAAAATGCGGCATGATATCTCTATATTCAACCAAGGTGAGTCCAAATCATTTGAAGATGCATGGAATCGTTTCAGAAATATGTTGAGGAAGTGCCTGCAACATGGCTTTGACAAGAAGACACAGATCCAATTTTTTTTACACTAGACTACTTCCATCCTTGAACAGCATGGTGGATTCCTCATCTGACGGGTCTATCTCCACAAGAACAATTGACGAAGCATGGAAGCTATTTGAGAAAATGACTATAACTTCAGCCATGTGGTCTACAGACCGAGTGGTTCAGAAGAGATCGCCGGGGGTTTATGAAGTAGATACTTATTCCGCACTGTTTGCAAAGATAGACTCTTTGTTCCATAAGGTTGAGAGCATTTCATAGAACGTCACTGCTAAACAAGTCAAGAAGCCTAGCTGTGAAGAATGTGGAGCAGACCACAACACTGTTAATTGTCCAATTCTCCCACAGGGGGTCGAACATGCAGATTTTGTGCAATGGGATCAACGCCAACAGAACAACCCACATTCGAAAACCTTCAATCAAGGCTGGAGAAAACACCCAAACTTCTCATGAAGTAATCAGAATCAAAACAGACCTCAAAGTCAATATCAGTAGCAAGATAAAAAGCCACCATTGGAAGAGATGTTCGAGAAGTTCATGGCAACAACCAATTAGTATAT